AGACCTGATTTGTGACCTAGGATGTGTTCTCTTCTGGAGAATGTTCCATGGGCACTAGAGAAGAATGTGTATTCTGTTGCTTTGGGATGGAATGTTCTGAATATATCTGTGAAGTCCATTTGGTCCAGTGTGTCATTTAAAGTCTTTATTTCCGGGCGCCTGGGTGGCTCAGTCGTTAAGCGTCTGCCTTCAGCTCAGGTCATGATCCCAGGGTCCTGGGATCGAGTCCCACATCGGGCTCCCTGCTCGGCGGGAAGCCTTCTTCTCCCTCTCCCATTCTCCCTGCTTCTGTTCCCTCTCTCACTGTTTCTCTGTCTGTTAAAAAATAAATAAAATCTTTTAAAAATAAAATAAAATAAAGTCTTTATTTCCTTGTTGATCTTTTGCTTAGATGATCTGTCCATTTCAGTGAGGGGGGTGTTAAAGTCTTCCACTATTATTGTATTGTTGTCAATGTGTTTCTTTGCTTTTGTTATTAATTGCCTTATATAATTGTCTGCTCCCATGTTAGGGGCATCGATATTTACAATTGTTAGATCTTCTTGTTGCATAAACCCTTTAAGTATGATATAGTGTCCTTCCTCATCTCTTATTACAGTCTTTGGTTTAAAATCTAATTTGTCTGATATAAGGATTGCCACCCCAGCTTTCTTTTGGTGTCCATTAGCATGGTAAATGATTTTCCACCCCCTCACTTTCAATCTGGGGGTGTCATTGGGTCTAAAATGAGTCTCTTGCAGACAGCAAATCGGTGGGTCTTGTTTTTTTATCCAATCTGATAGCCTGTGTCTTTTGATTGGGGCATTTAGCCCATTTACATTCAGGGTAACTATTGAAAGATATGAATTTAGTGCCATGGTATTGCCTGTAAGTTACTGTTACTGTATATTGTCTGTGTTCCTTTCTGGTCTCTGTTACTTTTAGGCTCTCTCTTTGCTTAGATTTCTTATAGGGCTGGTTTTGTGTTTGCAAATTCCTTTAATTTTTGTTTGTCCTAGAAGCTTTTTATCTCTCCTTCTATTTTCAATGACAGCCTAGCTGGATATAGTATTCTTGGCTGCATATTTTTCTCATTTAGTGCTCTGAATATATCATGCCAGTCCTTTCTGGCCTGCCAGGTCTCTGTGGAGAGGTCTGTTGCCAATCTAATGTTTCTACTGTTGTAGGTTACAGATCTCTTCTCCCGAGCTGCTTTCAGGATTTTCTCTTTGTCTCTGAGACTCGTCAGTTTTACTATTAGATGTCGGGGTGTTGACCTATTTTTATTGATTTTGTGGGGGGGTTTCTGTACCTCCTGGATTTTGATGCCTGTTTCCTTCCCCAAATTAGGGAAGTTCTCTGCTATAATTTGCTCCAATATACCTTCAGCCCCCCTCTCTCTTTCTTCTTCTGGGATCCGAATTATTCTAATATTGTTTTGTCTTATGGTATCACTTTTCTCTCGAATTCTGCCCTCGTGATCCAGTAGTTGTTTATCTCTCTTTTTCTCAGCTTCTTTATTTTCCATCATTGTTCTTCTATATCACTAATTCTCTCTTCTGCCTCATTTATCCTAGCAGTTAGAGCCTCCATTTTTTATTGCATCTCATTAATAGCCTTTTTGATTTTGACTTGGTTAGATTTTAGTTCTTTTATTTCTCTGGAAAGGGTTTCTCTAATAACTTCCATGCTTTTTTCAAGCCCAGCTAGTATCTTTAAAATCATCATTCTGAACTCTAGTTCCACATCTTACTAATGTCCGTATTGATTAGGTCCCTGGCAGTCAGTACTACCTCTTGTCTTTTTTTTGAGGTGTTTTTTTCCCATCTTGTCACTTTGTCCAGAGAAGAATAGATGAATGGGAGAACAAAATGCTAACATGGTAACAACGACCCCAGAAAATATACACTAAACAAATTAGAAGAGACCTGAAACCAGGGGGGGAAAAGGGGAAAGAAAGAAAAAAGAAAGAAAAAGATAAAAAATAAACAAAACAAACAAAACAGAATATGATCAAATATGATCAGGCTGGTGCATAGATCATTGCCACACACTAGATTTGGGGCATATTTTTGTCTATTAGAAGAAAGTGGCTCCCAAAATTTTAAAGAAAGAAAAACTTGTATGTACAAAAATAAGGGTAAATACGATGAAGAGTTGGAATATGACTGTAAAGATTAAAATTATAAAAGATTTTATAAAAGGAATTGATAAGATAAAAAGGTTGAAAAAAGAAGAGGATTTAAAAAAAAAAGGAGAGAATGTGATCAGGCAGGAGACTAGAACAAAGCCATACACTAGTTATTTAGGGTGTATTTTGGTCTGTTAGAAGAAACTGTATCCCAAAATTTTGAAGAGAGAACAACTTATATATATATACCAAAAATAAAGTTAACTGCTATGAAGGGATAGAATATGACTCTAAAAATGAAAAATAAAAAAGACTTTTTTATTATTTATTTTTACGATATTATTTATTTATTTGACAGAGAGAGAGACAGCGAGAGAGGGAACACAAGCAGGGGGAGTGGAGGAGGGAGAAGCAGGCTTCCCACCGAGCAGGGAGCCTGATGTGGGGCTTGATCCCGGGACCCTGGGATCATGACCTGAGCCAAAGGCAGACACTTAATGACTGAGCCACCCAGTCGCCCCTAAAAAAGATTTTTTTTAAAAAGGATTGATGAGATGTTGGTTGAAAAAGGAAAAAAGATATTTTCAAAAAAAATTTTTTTTTTTAAATTAACTTTGAAAGACTAAAGAATCAGGGGGAAAAAGCCCTGAATTCTATGTGCAGTATTCCCCTAGTGCTGGAGTTCTGCTGTTCTCATTGATTGGTAAATTGGTCTTGGCTGTCTGTTCTTCCTGATCTTCTGGGGCAGGGGGCCTTGAGGTGGTTCTCAAATGTCTTTGCTGGAAGTGGAATTGCCCCACCCTTGCCTGTCCGGGCTAAGTAATATGCTTGGGTTTGTTCTCGGAAGCTTTTGTTCCCTGCAAGTTTTCCGTACAGCTTTGGAGGATGAGAGTGAAAATGGCAGCCTCCTAAACTCCGCCCCAGAGGAGCCGAGAACTCAGGGCCCCACTCCTCAGCGAGCCCCCAGAGAAAAGCAGTGAATCACTCCCATCTCCCTGGTCTCCGGCCACACTCCGTGCTCACCCGGCCTGTGACCGGCACCTGGTTGTGCAGCACACGACCCCATGTGGAGTCTCCAAACCCAGCAGATCCCTGCAGTGCATTCCTGCACTGCTCCTCCCCCGGGAGGAAGGGGAGTCTCCCCAGGTCTGCCGCTTGTTGGGTCCCTGCTGGAAGAGCAGTGGCCCAACGGTGCCGCAGATCACAGTTTATGGCAACCCCAAGCTCAGAGCCCACTCCTTGGCTCTGTCTCTGCAGCCGGCTTCCCCGTTCCGATCCCTGGGAGCCCTGCTACACTCAGGCACCCCCAGTCTTTCTGTGACCCTGAGGTCCTGAGACCCCACTGTCCCAGTGAGGGTTCCACCCCCCGCTTAGCCACTGGAGCGATGTCCCTCAGCAGAGCAGACTTCTAAAAGTTCAGATTTTGTGCTCGGCTGCTCTATCACTTGCTGGTATCGGCTGATGGAGGCTTCCTCCCCCAGCAGTCTATCTTCCCGAATATCACCTCGGATTCACTTCTCCACACATCCTACCTTCCAGAAAGCAGTCACTTTTCTGTTCAGAGAGTTGCTCCTATTCTTTTCTTTGATCTCCTGTTGAGTTCGTAGGTGTTCAGAATGGTTTGATCCCTATTTAGCTGAATTCCTCGGACCAGACGAAATTTAGGTCTCCTCCTCCTCCACCATCTTGTTCCTCCTCCTTGCCAACCACTTTAAATCTGAGATGGCTGCCCCTAGAACTCTGGAGAATGCAAGTTGCTTTTAAGACCCTAGAATCCACATGATGTGATGAGCACTTGGTGTTATATGCAACTGGTGAATTATTGAATTCTACATCTGAAACTAATGATGTACTATATGTTGGCTAGTTGAATTAAAAAAGAAGGGAGACCCCAGAATCTTTTCTTTCTGAGTGTCCAGTTTATTTGGAGAAGACATTTTCAGAACTGTCCCAGTGCTTTCTTACTGTGGGGCAGGAGTGGATAGTAATGTAGTGCTTATGCAAACAGGTGCTCAGACTGCCTGGTCTTGGATTTGGTTTTAAATCTGCCTAGAGAAGTGACTGCAGTGGGACAGAATAACCCCCAAAGATGTCCATATCCTAATCCCTGGAACCTGTGAATATGTTACTTTCTATGGTAGAAGAGATGTTGCAGACATGATTAAGAGAAAGATTTTGAGATGAGATCATCCATTTAGACTCAGTGTAGTCACAAGAGACCTTATAAGAGGGAGGCAGGAGGGTCAGAGAAGGAGATGCAATGATGGAAGGAGAGGTCAGAATGATTCAAGAAGAAGCCTCTAGAAGCTAGAAAGGCAAAGAATCATTCTCCCCCCAGGAAGGAATGCAGCCCTGCCAACACCTTGATTTTAGCCCTGCAAGACCCATTTTGGACTTTTGGCCTCCAGAACTGTAAGATAATAATTTGTATTGTTTTAAATCACTAAGTTCAGTAATTTGTTATAGCGACAATAGGAAAGTAACATAGTGACCTTGGGTAAATTCCTTAAATTCTAGGCCTGTGTTTCTCCATCTTTTTTTTTTTTTTTGTAACAGCTTTATTATTGGGGTATATTTTTACATATTCTAAGATTCTCCCATTTCAAGTATACAATTCAATGACTTTAGTAAATTTGCTGAATGATATAAACATCACAAATCAGTTTTGGAACATTTTTACTCCTGTGAGACCCCTCAAGCTCCCTTTACAGTTGACTCAGTCTGCAGGAAGCCTCTAATCTACTGTCTGTCTCTCTAAATTTTCCTTTCTTGACATTCCATACAAATGGAATCATACCGTATGTGGTCTCTAGCATCTTGTTTTTTCATTTTGCATAATGTTGCTTTATCTCTAACAGAACAGTAGTTTATACCAGCATCTTCTTCCTAGGACTGTTGTAAGGATTAAATCAGATTATGGATTCAAAATGTTTAGCCGAGTGTCCACTACATAGTAAGTACTCAATAAGTATTCCTTTTCTACTGCTTCCATGTATCATTCTCTTTGTTACTTTTTTCCAGTTTCTGAACAAATACACAAAAATATTTTTTAACATAATATAATATGCTTCATTTGCTCTCCTAGTCTCATTTGTGTTGTGAAGAATGTAAGTCTTCTAATTTATATGTTAAACTGATTTTTTGGAGTGTGACATAAGAACCTAAACACCATGCTTGCTTCTTTTTTTGAAATGAGAGAATATGTTCTATAGTCTAGGTGGCTAACCTAAAATGTGAACCTTTTTTATTTTTTAAGTATAGTTGACACACAATGTTACATTAGTTTCAGGTGTACAGCATAGTGATTCAATAAGTTTATAAGTTATGCTGTGCTTACCACAAGTGTGTATCGTCTGTTACCATACTATTATAATGTCATTGACCATATTCCCCATGCTGTACCTTTTATTCCCCTGATTTTATTCTAAAACTGGAAGCCTGCATCCCCCACTTCCCTTCACCCATTTTGCCCATCCTTCCCTCTTGCAACCATCAGTTTGTTCTCTATATTTATGTGTCTGATTCTGTTTTTTATTTGTTTACTCATTTGTTTTTGTTTTTTTTTTTTAGATTCCACATATAAGTGGAATCATATGGTATTTGTCTTTCTCAGGCTGGATTTCACTTAGTATTATACCTTCTAGGTCCATTCCTGCTGTCTCATGTGGCAAGATGTCATCCTTTTGTGGCTGTGTAATCTTCCATTTATATATATATATATATCATACACACGTCACATCTTTATCCATTCATTTATTGATGGACACTTAAGTTTCCATTTTTTAGCTATTGTAAATAATGCAAAAAACATAGGGGTGCATATATCTTTTCAAATTAGTGTTGTTGTTTTCTTCGGGTAAATACCCAGTAGTGGAATTACTTGATCATATGGTGTTTCTATTTTTAATTTTTTTGAGGAACCTCCATACTGTTTTCCATGGTGGCTGCACCTGTTTGCATTCCCATCGACAGTGCACAAGGGTTCCTTTTTCTCCACATCCTTGCCAACACCTGTTGTTTCTTGTGTTGTTGATTTTAGCCATTCTGACAGGTGTGAGGTGATATCACATTGTAGTTGTGATTTGCATTTCCCTGATGAGAAGTGATGATGAGTATCTTTTCATGTGTCTGGTGGCCATCTATAGATCTTCTTTGGAAAAATGTCTATTCATGTCTTCTCCCCATTTTAATTGGATTGTTTGTTGCTTTGGTGTCGAGTTGTACAAATTCTTTATATATTTAGGATCTTAACCCCTCATCAGATACATCATTTGCAAATGTCTTCTCCCATTCAGTAGGTTGCCTTTTTGTTTTGGTGATGGTTTCCTTTGCTGTGCAAAAACTTTTTATTTTGCTGTAGTCCCAATAGTTCATTTTTGCTTTTGTTTCCTTTGCCTCAGGAGACATATCTAGAAAAATGTTGCTATGGCCGATGTCCAAGAAATTACTACTTGTGTTCTCTTTTGGGATTTTTATGGTTTCAGGTCTCACATTTAGGTCTTTAATCCATTTTGAGTTTATTTTTATATATGGTGTTATTAGTTCAGTTTCATTCTTTTGCATGTTGTTGTCCAGTTTTCCCAACACCATTTGTTAAAGAGACTGTCTTTTCCCCAATTGCATATTCTTGCCCCCTCTGTCATAGATTAATTGACCATATAAACATGGGTTTATTTCTGGGCTCTCTAGTCTATTCCATTTATCTATCATATCTGTTTTTATGCTGGTACCTTACTACTACTGCTTTGTAGTAGATCTTGAAATGTGGGATTGTGATAGGTCCAGCTTTGTTCTTTCTCAGGACTGTTTGGGCTATTTGAGGTCTTTCATGGTTCCATACAAATTTTAGTATCGTTTATTGTAGTTCTGTGAAAAAATGCTGTTGCTACTTTGATAGGGATTACATTGAATCTATAGATTGCTTTGGATAGTATGGATACTGTAACAATACTAATTCTTCCAATCCATGAGCATGGACTATCTTTCCATTTGTTAGTATCACCTTCAATTTCTTTCATCAGTGTTTATGGTTGTCAGAGTTACAATGTGAATTTTTAAGACACAGCTGTTTATTACTTGGAGATTGCCTGTTTTCAGATAGATTATATAAATGTTCTGATTTTACTTTAAAGTTATGAGGGGTCTTTTATCTGGTGCTCTGCTGTAGCTGAAACTGAGAGGAAATACAAAGAGTAACATCCAATCTTAAGAAAATCTTTGTGAAAGTTACAAATGTGTGAGGGGGTGTTAAAGAAGCACTGTGGAATTTCTTGGACTTGTACTGATTTGACCTGACAGAGTAATATCCCAATGGGATTATAATCAAGAAAGTAAGAGCTAGAAAAGTGGAAAATGGTGGTGGTGGGAATAACAAGTAATAATTACTTTTCTTGGAGTTAACATTTTGAACAGACATATATTTTGTATCCCTGTCATCTTTTGTATAGTTGTTTAAGCATGTTAACATTTATCTTTTCTGTCTACTCCCCCTGATGCCACTTGCAAACTTCTTTTGGGAAAGAATCTGATTTACCATCTAGAAGTGCCAGTGTTTGCCTAGCCTCTGGTACTTCAATTAATTGGTGGACAGATGAATGGTTGGATTTATGGATAGATAGCTGACAATTTAGTGTTTAGAAAAGTATTCTAACTCTACTTGGACAGAAGCATTCTCCTGTGTTCCCCTCAGGCTGCCTTAAAGGAACAGATAAAAGAAATAAGTTCATGAACCATTTTCATTTTTGCTACTGATAAAGTATTTACCTTTTTGGAAATTTGACAACATGTCCTTCTGCTGAAGAATACAGAAATATATAATACCTTATAAGGTATTATGTGTTGTCCAAATTAAGTTGTCTTATTTTAGATTTTCTTAAGACCCACTTTGGCTTAGCTATTGGCAGACCAACTAAATTCAGGAAGTCTAACATTTTATTGTTTTATTTTTCTGGAAGTAAACAGAAAATGTTTGTTATTTCCGAACATTTTGGCTCACTTTGGTTGGGTAAAGGCTAACTTTAGAATTTGTTCATTTTTCTTACTCTGTTCTTTCTTGTCTTGACATTTAAACACTTTGTTGCAAATTTTTTTTTTAATTAAAATGTTTTGTTGCTCTTTAACACTTCCATATAAAAAAAAGACAAGGCATATTAGCCATGATGGAAGCAACAAAACATCAACTGATTGGATATATGGGTAAACAAAATGTGATACACACACACACACACACACACGAGGGAATATTATTCAGCCTTAAAGAAGAAAGGAGTTCTGTCATTTGCATCAACATGGATGAACCTGGAGGACATTATGCTAAGTTAAAAAATCCACAATAAGACAAATACTGTATGATTACGTTTATGTGAAGTATCAAAAGTAGTCAAATTCATTGAAACAGAAAGTAGATTGTTGGTTGCCAGGACCTAGGGGGAGCAGGATAAGGGAAGTTGTTTAATGGCTATAGAGTTTCAGTTTGCAAAATGAAAAATTTTTGGATATCTGTTTCACAACAATGTGAATATACTTTACTGAATTATACGCTTAAAAATGGTTAAGATGGTAAATTCTACATTACCTGCTTTTTTTCTTAACCACAGTTAAAAAAAGAAAAGGCAGAGAGCTGAAATTTGTGTTAGGTTTGCTACTTGAAGAAACTTTTCTGTAGTATTCACTAGGCTAAGGTTTAGAATAAAATTCATGTATCTATACAGGGTACGGGGGAAAAGAAACAAGAGTAACTTCGTCTTTTTTTTTTTTATTTTATTATTATTATTTTTTTTTTTTTACTGTTTTTGTAACTGCTGTTATGCATCTTTACTAAGACCTGAAAATGGATTGATGCTATAGCAATGAACAATCCAAGTTTTCCATTATTTTCAGGAACATTGCAAGATGAACTCTTGGTGAAGACCGTGGGTTTCTTGGTATTGATTTCATCAAAAGCCTTGCCAAAGCTTTTTTAGCTCATTTGGAAACATTTCCATTGTTCCTTCTCAAAGGTTACTTAGATCAAAGATGGGTGATTTTGCCTGTAACTTGCTAATTTGGGGAATGTTTCTTCCCATTGGAGATGAAATGTGTCATATATACTATTTATTCTGATATAAACAGTAAGAACATTGAGTATATTCTTCATGCTATATTTTATATTATACAGTATGAACATATGGTCTGTTTATGTATAAAGAGAAAATTCACATTTTTTGGTGCCACTAAGAATTTTTTCCCAGCTTCATTGAGATATAATTAGCACATAACATTATAAATTTAAGGTGTACAGTGTATTGATTTGATATTGCAAAAAGATTACCATAGCATTAGCTAACACCTCCATCATGTCACATAATTATCATTTCTTTTTTGTGTTGAGAACACTTCAGACCTATTCTCTTAGCAACTTTCAAACATATAATGTAGTATTTTTATTTATAATAACCATGCTGTACTTCAGATCACTAGAACTTACTCATCTTATAATGGAAAGTGGCAAGTAACTTTTTAGTTCAATTGAAAAGGAACTAAAGGGGCGCCTGGGTGGCTCAGTCGTTAAATGTCTGCCTTCGGCTCAGGTCATGATCCCGGGGTCCTGGGATCGAGCCCCACATCCGGCTCCCTGCTCGGCGGGAAGCCTGCTTCTCCCTCTCCCACTCCCCCTACTTGTGTTCCCTCTCTCGCTGTGTCTCTCTCTGTCAAATAAATAAAATCTTTAAAAAAAAAAAAAAAAGAAAAGAAAAGGAACTAGAAAGATAAGTTCTGCTTCTAAGAATATGCTTTTTTTTTTTTTTTTTTTTTTAGTTTTTGTAAGTATTAGGCTCTGCTGGAGATTTAAGATGAATTAGACTCCCTGCCCTTAAGATACAGTGTAATGGAGAGAAATATCTTCACAGCAAATTATGACACAAAACAGAATCTAGGGTGCCTGGGTGGCTCAGTCATTAAGTGTCTGCCTTCGGC